TGGGACCCTCCTCCCTCTTCTTCCGTCATCGGCTGAATGCGCATGCGCGGCAAGAGTCGCGCGCGCATTCAGCCAGTCTTATAGGAAAGCATTATCAATCACAGTTAGAAGCGCGGAAGCTCCTCTAGGGGCTGTCAATGAGACAGCCACTAGAGGCTGGATTAACCCATAGGTAAACATAGCAGTTTCTCTGAAACTGCTATGTTTACTGCAAAAAGGGTTAATCCTAGCTGGACCTGGCACCCAGACCACTTCATTGAGCTGAAGTGGTCTGGGTGCCTATAGTGGTCCTTTAGCCCCTCAAGGACACATGACATGTGTGACATGTTATGATTCCCTTTTATTCCAGAAGTTTGGTCCTTAAGGGGTTAAGTTTCTTTTTTTTTTGTGTGTCCCCTGAAATAATACACTATTGGAATTCATCTATATTTGTACATTTTTTGTTGCATGTAATGTTTAGGGCCATCTTGCTCCATAATAATTAAAGAAATATCTGAGAATATCTGACATCTACTTTTATCAGCATAAGCATTTGTTTGTGTACTGTTTCCTTTTTGACGTTTGTGGTTAGGGAGGGATCTAAATGGTTTGCAGTCTCTACTTCAATAAAGATATTTAGAGCTTAATCCATTTCTTAATTTTTTTTCAATACGAGTAAAGGCTAATTCATGATAGCAATAGAGAGTAAATACAAAAGTGCACTCTAATATATGTAAATGTAATTAGGCAACACCCCAATAAAAGGATTTTTCCAAAAATGGGTAATAAAATCAAAACGCAAATGAAGTAAAAGTATTAAAAGCATCAAATATCTTATCTGTGTATTAATTAATACTGTATAATTTATTATGACACAAGGATAAAAATAATTAAAATTAAATATTATAACCCTGACATTGTCTGAAGCACAGATGCTCGGAAATGACAGCAAATCCACTCATAAATCCATAACACCATAAAATGAAAATTAAATTTTACCTACCTAGCTGAGAGATATGGGGCATAAGCTTAAATTATTGGCAGATTTTGACCGGAGAGACCTGGCTGACTATTGACATTGCCTTTCTATATTCGAATACAAGTCATTATCTATTCCCCTTCTTCCCCATGTGTAATCAAATTTCTTTTACAACGTGCACGTTTCAATTTGACACAAAATTATTTTTGGCTTGGATAACAAGTTTTATCTGCAGACTAAGGTAACCACTATGGGACTAGTTTTGAGCCTTCAATTTTTTTTTATTGCTTTGGAAAATAATAGCCTTCGGTTTCTGTTATATTGATGATATTATCATCATTTGGGAGGAGAATACCCAGGACCCTTGGGCACTTTCTTACCTGTTAGGGTTAAAATGTTGCCTCCAGCTCCAGATATCCAATTCCCCAAGTGGCATCTGGTTTCGGAAATTGACTATCTGGAAGCGTGTAGTGCTGATAGGCAGGGGTGCCGCTGATTGGCTAGAGCTGCCAGCTGATGCTCCAAGTCAATCAGTAGCTCCCCATTCATAAAAAAGGTATATCCCAATCAAACAGGGAAACTTTTCACTTTTTTCAGGCAGTTTTCAAACCCTAAACGCTTATCCCTTATGGGGATACATTAGACACCTCCTCGATATGATCTATTTTTAAGGCATAATAAAGCATTCTCAGCTGAATCTCAGTGGATTTTCTTTTTAAGTTCCTAAGGGTCTTGATGAACAGCTGGATACATCCTTTATTTAGGTTTTTGGTTTTCTGTTTATCACCTTAATGCTATTATTACATCTTATATTATTTACTATTTCATTATTATTTTATATTTCCATTTAAGTTTGGTCCCATTAACATGACTATATTGATTGACCCCAAACCTTTTGCTTTCCTGTTGCCCAGTATTGCAGGTTTATTTCAATGTTTACCTAATGCTGCATACATTTATTTTAATAGGTTATAAAAATGTATCGTTTAAATGGCATTGCATATATTTTGTGTTATCAATTCATATTTTTGTCTGTCTTAACAGGAGTTGAGGAGCATATGTTTTCAGCCAGCTTTGCTGCCCCCATAAGGCAATTTTTGTCTACCCCTATAAGGCAAATTTAGCCAATTTTGTGATCATCACTTAGGCTTTTATGATCAGTATTAATTATTTCAGGGACTGGTCCTCTCCGCCTCTTTAGGTAGTTTCCCCATATCTGATCTGATTATAAACCTTGCTGCTTTTACACCAAGTATGTCAAACTTAAAGGCTAACACGGGCCTAATAAACAAGGTTTAAGTTTATGTGGGCCACAAAAAAACAAAAACTTCAGTTTTCATAGAAACATAGGCTTATTTTGAAAAGTGCAGTGTACAAAAAGTTGACTAACTGACACTGGACGTCCTCACACACGTAGGGCTTTAAACAAAAGAGCATGTTTATTTTAAGGAGGCAGGCATTTGCATATAACCAATGTTTCAGTCAAACTACCGTGACATTTTAAGAAAAGTTTGATAATATGACTGAAATGGTGAATGTAGGCTGTTGCACAGCTGTAAAAAAAAAAAAAAAATGAAATTATCTTGTTGATTTTGAAGTCCTATGAGTGTGTTCTTCACTTTGGCCGAGATCATTAAATCTTAGGAAAGCATTGGGAGTCTATTGTGCATGTGTGGCAAAATACACTGCCCCTTCTCCTTCCACTCTAATACACTGCTCACTTACCCCATTCTAATACATTGCCCTCAAATCCAATACACTGCCCCCTTCCCTCCAATCTAATACACTGCCTCTTAACCTCATACACTACTCCCCCTCACTCCACTTAGATTTAGTGAATCTATGTCACGTTTGGAACAAAATAGCAGCCCCTAACCGCCTTTTAACTCCATCATGTTATACCATTTGTAAAAGAAGATAACTTGGACTATTTAATATTGGGCATTTTTATACTTTTTCCTTTTAACTTTCACCAACAATTTCTGACAAATTCAGCAGGACATTTTTATTTAGTGCTGTTTGTTTGGACCAAATGTTCTGTTTTGTGCCAAAATACTGAGATCTACTCCATATTTCAAGACACCATTGATTAAAATGAATAAAAAGATACAGTCATTAAGAAGAAATGTAGCTATTGACTTGCTGTAGGCTTTGTGGCTAAACCATGTTAACGTGATCAATGTGTATTTGTAAAATACTTTCTAAAAATCGAATGCCAGCAAATTGTAGATATAAATATATTGAATATACCTATTTTAAATAAAATGTTTATGTTTATAAAAAATATAAATGTTTTTAAATAAAGAAATGTGAATCTTATCCAGTGACATCAAATTCAGTAAATGGAAAAAAACACTAAAGAATCCACATGGTAGAAATGAAAACAGTTTTTAATGTCAACTAAAATAAAACTCAATATGTTAGAACATTTTCTATAAAAAAAATTATAATTGTTATGAAGTCCTGAATTATATCATTTGAAAGGCACCATTCTCTATCTCCTACACACCACCATCAAGTCTCTAATTGTCCATCCATCTGTCCATTACAACATCCAAGCAAAGCATCACATGAAGAATGACAGCTGCGATTTCCATGGCGCAGACCCCTATGGTGGACAATGCTTGGTCCCCATCCAAGTGCTCACACTAGGTCTCCTTAGTCTACGCTACTTTGCCCATAGGGAAACCCTCCCTGCAAGACCGGGAAGGCCCTGAGCTCAGGCATTGGCTCTATGGCATACTGACTGTGAATCAGTTGATGGATGCGTTGGTGACACCTTTGCTTGGCATGGGGCTGCCTGTTGTAGAGACTCTTGGCCTTGCACATCATGTTGCACACCAGCAGCTTAAGCAACGGGATATCTCAGAGTGCACTCCATGCCAGACTGGCTCTCAGTCTCTCTCAGTGCATTCTTAACTGTCACAACTTCAACAAGTCTCATCCACCTTCTCACAGCACTGACTCCTGTCAGCATGTGACTGTGCACATGCGCACTCCACTAGAGCTACAGCAGACAATAAGCAGCGAGCAGACTCTGCAATGCCTATCAACCAATAGAATGGCAGCGGTTCCCATGTGCTATTCCAGCTCTAAATCTGGGAATGAATCATGGTTTATTAAAAAAAAAAAATATATATATATATATATATATATATATATACAGTCAGTTACATTACATGAGGTATAAAATGTAGAACATGGTTTATAAAACAATAGAAATGCTACATTGTCTAGTTTTATATATTATTTCTAGAGATGGAATAAGTTTCCACAGAGCCCTTGGCATGTTATTGTTTTGTCACCCCCTCTCCGTTCTTAACCTAGGAATGGTGAATAGGTTGCAGTAAATTCATGGTGCTGGGCCCAAGGCCAAAAATTACCTGATGCTTTATCCTGCTCTGTCTATATAATTGATTTAAAAATAAAACTCTATGGTTATGTATCTATGTTTAACACACATTTATTAATCTCTGATTACCTAAAACCACATATCATTTAATTTTATAGAATATATCTGTGATTTCTAAACAGAACAAAAATAATGTAATGCACAGTTTTTTGACACTCCTGATACAGATAGTGTATTAAGATAAGAACTAGGATCAATTTTGTCCTATCTCTACTGTACATCTCTCAATAGTGTACAGTTTATAGATGACACTGATAGCGGATTGGCACTCAATGGTCATGTAGTAATGCTAAAAATAAATAATAATACAGAGTAGGGGGGCAAACAAGAGGCACCCATCCCATCCTTCCCTTCATATGTAATAATACAGGGTCAGAAGATGCCCATTCTTCTGGGCACCTGCAATAATATTCCTCTTAAAGAACACCGAGATGCCCAGTCTCTTGGGCTTTGTATAGAATAACTCTTTAATGCCCCAGAAAGGCCTGGGAGATGCCCAGTCTTCTGTGCCTTGGGCTTCTATTCTCGACTCGTGGGTATTTTTCCTTATGCTGCAGCTAACTCCACATTGGAGTAACACACTTTAAAAAAAATCATATGTAGCCTATAGGCAGGGCTGCCACCAGACATATTGGGGCCCCTGACAAAGCACAAGGTGTTGAATGTGTGGTGGATGTAGTGTGTGTACTGTGAATACAGGATGTTTGTGTAGTGGATGCTGTGTGTATAGTTAATGCAGAGTGTGTGTTAGTGTAGTGAATGCAGAGTGTGTGTCAGTGTAGTTAATGCAGAGTGTTCTTAGTGTAGTGAATGCAGAGTGTTAGTGTAGTGGATGCAGTGTGTTAGTGTAGTGACTGCAGTGTGTTAGTCTAGTGAATGCAGAGTGTGTGTTAGTGTAGTGAATGCAGAGTGTGTGTCAGTGTAGTGAATGCTGAGTGTTAGTGTAGTGGATGCAGTGTGTTAGTGTAGTGAATAAAGAGTGTGTGTCAGTGTAGTAAATGTGTGTGTGTCAGTGTGTGTGTGTCAGTGTGGTGAATGCAGAGTGTGCGTCAGTGTAATGAATGCAGAGTGTGTGTTAGTGTAGTGAATACAGAGTGTGTGTCAGTGTAGTGAATGTAGAGTGTGTGTTAGTGTAGTGGATGCAGTGTGTTAGTGTAGTGAATGCAGAGAGTGTGTTAGTGTAGTAAATGCGAGTGTGTGTTAGTGTAGTGAATACAGAGTGTGTGTCAGTGTAGTGAATGTAGAGTGTGTGTTAGTGTAGTGGATGCAGTGTGTTAGTGTAGTGAATGCAGAGAGTGTGTTAGTGTAGTAAATGCGAGTGTGTGTTAGTGTAGTGAATACAGAGTGTGTGTCAGTGTAGTGAATGTAGAGTGTGTGTTAGTGTAGTGGATGCAGTGTGTTAGTGTAGTGAATGCAGAGAGTGTGTTAGTGTAGTAAATGCGAGTGTGTGTTAGTGTAGTGAATACAGAGTGTGTGTTAGTGTAGTGAATGCAGTGTGTTACTGTAGTGAATGCAGAGTGTGTCAGTGTAGTGAATGCAGAGTGTGTGTTAGTGTAGTGGATGCAGTGTGTCAGTGTAGTGAATGCAGAGTGTGTGTGTTAGTGTAGTGAATGCAGAGTGTGTGTCAGTGTAGTGAATACAGAGTGTTAATGTAGTGAACGCAGAGTGTGTGTGTTAGTGTAGTGAATGCAGAGAGTGTGTTAGTGTAGTAAATGCAGAGTGTTAGTGTAGTGAATGCAGAGTGTGTGTCAGTGTAGTGAATACAGAGTGTGTGTTAGTGTAGTGAACGCAGAGTGTGTGTGTTTTACTCGTGTAAAATTGAGCATTTCAACTGGTTTCAAGTTCTTCCTTTTTCCCTCTGTATCAGTACCCCACCTGGGGATATTTCCAGTGAAGAGTCGCATGGAGCCCATAGGGAACCCCTTTCTGCGGCCATCTGGAAGGCTCTGTGCCCTGGGTTCAGCTCTGTGGCAGGCTCACTATCGATCAGCTAATGAATGCGTTGGTGACACCTGTGCTTGACATAGCGATGCCTGCTGTAGAACCGGTTTGCCTTGCAGATCATGTTGCACAGCAGCATCTTAAGCTATGGGATGTCTCTTTCCTGCATGCAGCAGCTCTTCAGCTTTCTCTGGGTCAGTCTCATTAACCTATTAGCATTCAGAGTGCATTCCATGCCAGACTCCCTCTCCGCAACCTCATTCTCGCTTGGTGCTTTTTAAACCTTGACTGTCACAACTTCAACAAGTCTCATCCAACTCCTGACAGCACTGACTCCCACCAGCATGTGCGTATGCCAACTCCACTAGAGCTACTGTAACCAATCAACAGCGAGCATTTCCTTAGCCTAGAAAGAGCTAGCAGCCTGCAAAATGCCTATCAGCCAATAGAATGACAGCAGTTCCTATGTGCTATACAAACTCTAAAATTGGAAATGAGGATAATAATTCAGAACACGGTTTATAAAATATAGACATGCTACATAATATCTGTAATTTTATATACCATATAATCAGTTCTTAATTTAAAGAAAACAATATGGTTATAATTAAAATAAAACATGTCTGTGTCAGCTATCTTTTCATCTCTGTTTATATAAAATTGCATGTAATTTAATTTAATAAAACAAAATCAGCAATTTATGAACAAACTAAGAACATTGCCTGTTATCAGATTTTTTAGTAGCGGATTAAATTAATCATGACAGTGGCAGAATTAATGAAGATAATTCATTGGCACAAGAAACTATTGTAGCCTCCCAAATAGAGCAAGGGTGGGCAAAGGTTTATAACAGAATTTTGCAACATAATATCTCAACAAAACTTGTTTATTTGATCTCAACCCCTAGTAATCCTTGTCCTGATTGACAATTTGTTTATATGTCTTTCCTCCTTGGTGGGGCCATATTAGTATGTAATTTATGAATTAATTTATTTTCCCCATTTGATGTAAAATATGTAATTACAAATGTTTTAATCTGCCGGTCAATAATTGTTGTTTTATTAATCTACGCCTCCTGCCAGTTCTGGGATGTTTTTTCTGTATATCCGTATACCGGTCCTGAGAATGGCCGGGTTAATGAACACACAGAGTCAGTATAACAAGCCGAGGTCAAAAGGAGTAGAGAAGACAGGAAAATCGTATACAGAAGCCAAGGTCAGAGGAGTACAGAAGACTGGATAAATGTAAGACAAGAGCCAGAAAATATCACAAGAGGATCACGCTACCAAAAAGCACAACAGGGCAACAAGGAATGGGAGAGATAAATAGGCATCACTTACTTCTAATTGGTCCAATTCCACTTGGAATTGACCACTATTCATGGAAGGTACTTGACCTTCCTAATCTGACCTCTGACGTCATTTATATGCACCGCATTCGGTCTACCGAATTCCCTGTTCGGTTTGGCGAACGCCGAATTCGGAGGTTTGTTCGGCAGCATAAATAAATGCACAGAGGGGATCGCGGCTCCCAGAGCCGAGCTGGAAGGTAAGCAGGCAGAAAGCCAGACATCCCCTATTTGACTAAATGAACAAGTTCTTTTTTATGTCATATTTTGAATAGTTAAACTTTATGGAGTTCTCCCCGCTGTATGATGAAAGACGAACGTCTGGCAAAACTGCACTAGATGTACACACGTCAATCAATTATAACTCTTTTATGTAATAAGTATTCTTTCTCTGAGCCTATTTATGTGATCGTGATTTATAATAGAAAAAAAAGGAAATTGGGTGTATATACTTGGAATCCAGACCAGATTCCTTTTGGTTTGAACACATCGTCCCTTTACTCTACGTGCTTCTTTGGAGGTGACCACAGGAAAGCATAAATTGAGGAGAATCTGTGGAAGCTGTTTGAGCAGTAGGTATTGCGGTTAGCATCTTAATCCACGTTAAAATTAGTATAGGACCCGCCGATATTGGGGTACTGTGATTAATAGTGGGCTAAATAGGATATGGTGGAACTGAATCCCCATATTTGTTTGCTGACATAGGTGATTTTAAACAGCCTTGTAAAATATACAGTTGCCTTTTTTTTGTGTGCCCTGTTCCTTAACCATGGTTTGTAATAGAACAGGTCTGTGCATCTAATTGCACTGTGCTCCATTGCTGTTTCTCAGACACCATGATGTCGGTGATTTTAAGATGTCCATTCAGAATCCATTCTATATATTAATAGTTGCACTTCCTGAATTAGTTTCTGAGGCCTGACATACCCATATTAAAGGAACACTATAGTGAAAGGAGTACAAACGTGTATTCCTCACACTACAGATTTAATAACACTATTTAGGCCCCTGGCTCCACCTGCCTCCATTCAGAAGATGAGATTACTCACCTCATTTCCAGCGCCACGCTGCTCTTTGGAAAGCCGACAAATAACCTTTTTCCATCTTACATTGGAAATTTATTTGATTCAATACTGTAGTCAGAGTCATTTGTTGATTTATTTTTCTCTCTACATTCTTGGACTCACTCTTCATGGCCATTTTATTGATATTATTTAGATGTAAATGTAGAATGACTTTTTTTCAGGCGATATAACCATTTTCACCTTTAAAATATCTGAAATTATATGAAAATTTTAATCCAAGTATTGTTAACTAATCTGCACGAGCATCAGATGTGCCTGGATGTGAACCACATCTCCAGCATAGTGGGCATTGATTAGGATCTATTTTATGCAATCTAGTGGGGGTAAAGTGCCATCTGTGCATTATTTTATATTGAATTACTTGAATATTTAAACAGTGTGTACCTTCTCCCCCCCCATTCTGACTTCTCTATCTCTAATGCGAGGTCTTTAGTCCAAGCAATTTGGGCACTCGATTTGCCTTATCCCGTGTTTTTAAAAAACATTGGACTTTTTTGAAGATATTTTTATTAGAATGAGAGACGAGGGTATTTTCTAATGCTTCCAATACCTTTGAATTTACTGTATTTGAAAGGTGCCTTCTTATTTAGTTTTTAATACGAATCAAGTTGTAATAATCTTTGCTTGGTATTTAACACGGTTATTAATTGTTCAAAAGTTTTAAAATAAGATCAGTCTAAAAAGTCTGCCACCTTGAAGTCTTTATCCATATACCACTTCATCTTTTTCAGCTTTGGAATGTTCTATTCTATTAGTTCTATAAGAGTTTGTTTTATTATTTATTTTTTATACCAATGCTAGTCTTCATTTGAATCCAAAAGAAAATGATATTTTTTGATAACAAAAGTCCCTATCTATACTTTTTTTTTTTTTTTTTACTATTTCTTGATTCATCCATAATATATTATAATAGTTCTTGATATCTAAAAAAACTTTTGGGGATCATTATTCTGAGTTAAAATTGTAAGTTAACCCACTATTAGCTTTTTATTCAATTATATATCCAATTTTATTCCTCGGCAAGTGGAAACTGATGCTTATTCCCCATAATACTCTGTTTACACATTGCGGTACTCCATCTTGTGGTTACTTATGTAATTACAATTACAAAGTGATCTAGAGAATCACTCTCCAATTAAGAGTTCTTATATTTATTTTCTCTCCTGATACATATTCATGAAGAACTAGTAACGTATAAAACCACAGTGTTTGTCCTCACGTCTTTTGAATATTTACTTGTAGACACCTGGATGTTCGGGTTCGCCGAGTTCGGCCGAACTTCGTCAAAAAGTTTGAGTTCGGGCTCGAACTTGACCTGAACTTGACCACGAACCCCATTGAAGTCAATGGGGACCCCGAACTTTTGGGCACTAAAATGCCTCTTAAAAAGTCCTGAAAAGGGCTAGAGGGCTGCAAAGGGAAGTAAAATGGGGGTAAGAGTAGGACAAGTGCCCTGCAAACAAATGTGGATAGG